CTGCTGAACACGGAGATCCTGTCACGCTTGATGGTGCTTTTTTTGTTGGTTTTGTTTTGCTTTTTTTTGGATTGTATGCAGGAAGGACCATGTAAAGACAGAAATACTGACCCATTGATTTGCTCTTGGTTTCCCAGTACCATGTTTGCTCTGATAGTCCGGTCACTTCTGTAAGTTTGAGTTAGTAGAGTTACTCAACATTTTAGCCTACTTGATGCAGTATCTCACCAACCTAATTGGCTGGATGGGATTCACAGTAGACGGGTTGCTGCTGTTAGGATGAAAACTCCTTTGTAGTTGTATGTAACCTATAGGTGAGGATTCTTGTTTTGGATATGAGAGTTTAAGTTCGGTTTTGCTTCTGTGGTCAGGTTGGCAAATTGAGATGAGTGCTAACACAAACAGAAAGCATTCCACTTTCAGTGAAAAACTCTTCTTTTTTTTTTTTAAAAAAAAAAAAAAGTACTCATAAGACAACTTGTAACATTGACCAGAGATGACACATCAAGAGGAAATCATGTCTGTGGTGAACCGAGCAAGCTTTGCAGCTTTGGTGTTGACACACGCTCCTTACCTCCAGCAGCGTGCTAAAATCTTTATCTTTTGATATAAAGAAGAGGGAAGGAAAAGAGCCAGTTACATTAACCCACTAATTTCTTTATATATTTTATTCTGAGCATGTAAGGGAGTGATGGAAAAACATCAGTCTGTAGTTTACTTTCATTTCAACTCAGTATTTGACACCAGTAATTGCTACCTTCCAAGTTTGTGTTGAGATACAGCTGTTGTGCCGCTGCAGGAATGGGGGACGTGGCAAAGAGGGAAACAGCCAGTTGGCATCCTCCCTCCCCTGGCCCGGTCAGTGAATTACACGCCTGTGGGCAGCTTAGGGGCAAAAAAACTTGGGGTATGGAAATAGTACGCACCTACTAATTCTCCTTATTTCAGAGAGGCTTTCATATCGTGCAGTGTTTTTGTTAATCTCACTTTATAGATACTTCTGCTTTTAACAATTGGTCTAGTAGATGCTTCAGAGGAACTACCTTAGTAATGACTGCTTGTCTACGCCAGTGATTTGGAAGCAGGCTGGTTATCATTGGGGATCTTTTTCTTATAAAAACGACAGCTGTAGTAAGGGTGACAGTGCTGTTATGAATTAGACTTTGTTCTATGGCAGCAGAACCAGAAGTGTAAGTGAAGCTGCTCTTTCCCCACATTTCTTCCTTTTAGAATACCCTGCGTTGCAATAAATACCTGGTGTGGGTGATAAACACTGAATGCTTTTCCTTACCGCAGGGTGTGTGCTTGCCCTTCCTCATTCTGTAGGTTCAAGAGGAGCCACAGACCTGCTGCTGTTACAAGGGGCAGCTGGTACTCTGTGTTGGTACAAGACTAATTCGTGTTATTTTCGTTAAGTCTTTAGCTGTGTTACCTTGTTTGCCCCAGAGGATAAAATGTATGGTGCTGGGCTTTGTTTCTGGCTTAACAGAGTGCAAGTTCAGTGCTCTTGGACAAATACACACCCCATGATCAACTGTTGTAGTTTTTATGGCAAAAGTGTTACTGATGAGCTGAGCGAGCATGCTGCGATTCCGTTTCCTTGAAAGAAGCTGCACCGATATTGGTGCCACCTGGATAAAAGATTTACCAAGTAGAGCTGCAAATAGTTTTAATAACTGGAATATGCGTACATATTGCTCAAAAGAATTTTTTCCTTCTTTTGCAGTTTCTCACACAGTCAACCACTTGAAGGAGAAGGAATTCTTCAGCCCCTTGTTTCAACAGACCTTGGACTATTTTCTGCTGCTTAACTCCCTTTGCTCCCCTGTTTTGGTGAACAGAAGATCCTAAGAGGAGGATGAGGCAGCTAAGAGGAAAACCCAAAAAAGAGACCTCCAAAGATAAAAAGGAGAGAAAACAGGCAATGCAAGAGGCCCGGCAACAGATCACCACTGTCGTGCTTCCCACGCTGGCTGTTGTAGTACTGCTGATTGTTGTGTTTGTTTATGTAGCGACTCGTCCAAATACAACTGAATGATGCAGCTTTTCAGACTTTCTCGCTTTGGGGTATTAATAATTTTCTCAAGAGCCAAAAGGAACTCTCTGCCACTCTTTCAGTACTTTACAAAGGAACTCGCTGGTATTTTCAGTCTTTCTCTTGGTTAGGGTCCCGCAGTTTCTCTTTAGGAATGTAACATAAAACGTATTGGTGAATGTGCCAGTACGTTTTATGGTCCAGTTCATGTGCCTTTCAGACTTTTAAAATGGTGTTTTTCTTAAATCTGTTTGAAGCTCTATATTGTAAAAGGAAATTGTGTTCTGCTATAAATTTGTAAAAAAATCAGCTTTCAGCTTTTATCGCTGTTATGGATAACGTTGCTCCCATGAGCTCTTGTGCGTCTATTTCAGAACTTCCAAAGAAGTACACTTCTTCTTTGTACTTAATGTCATATGAAGTGCTTTGATTCAGAAAGGATATATTTATTTTTTGAATAAAAGAAGTCTTGAAATCTTCAAATTATTTTGCAAAAAAATGTGACTTATTGTGAAAGCCTACATTGTGTAATAATTTTTTCATTAAACACTATGTGGTTCACTCAAAAAGAATTTCTTTTTGCTGTGAGATGCCAACATGCAAAGCAAACGCTTAAGGAAGGAGTCTTACGGAAGTTGAAAAGGGAGATTCTGCCAGTTTATGGTGAAGTAACTGAGAACAAACTACATAAACGCAGGTAGTTGTTTATCTGAATGTTAAATATTTAAATCTGTATAAAGTGGCAATAAAAAAGGTGATTTTGGATACAGCCCTTGATTATTTTTTTTAATATTTTTTTCAAGGAAGGAAAAGTAACATTAGTGTAACTTTGATCTCTCATCTACTTGCTGAAGCGAGCTGCTGTCCTGTGACATCCCTCTCTCCCCCTCACTTAAAGGAAGCTGTGAGCACAGCTTAGGCAGTTTTATTCTAGGAAATCAAGCTATAAATTCTGATCAAAATGCTTCAATAAGCCTGTATTCTTCTACAGCCCTTTCTCATCCAAATATTTTTAGGCGCTCAGCAAGCATTAACCATCAGAAGACTTTGGGGAGGGCAACTGAGAACTCTCGACTGCTGCTTAAATACAGGCCAAGCAAGGAAGAACATGATGCCGCCGTGCACTGACACATAGCAGGAAATATTTCTGTGTCGAAAGTCCAAGGCCCCTCCAATCTGTACTTCATGTGCTGTCTTTTGGCACGGGGATAGTCCCAGGGAAGTCAGAGGGACTGTTCTCACACGTGCCAGTGGAAGACTGTGCCTTGCTTCCAGCATTAACCCTGTGTCTTGTTCCTGTGCGGAGTTCTGCTGCCAACCGAGGTGGTTCTGCAAAAAAAATAATCTAGGCAAGCAAAGGCAATTCCCTGCAGTGGGCTTTGCCCTAAGGCACGTGTTCCCCAAGTGGGGCGAGTCTCTGGCCAGCTATAAACGCACTGGGTTCAGGATGAGACACGTACCCAGGGATGCCGGGATGGCCACAGCACATGACGCTTGCTGTGCCACCGCTGTCAGTAGTGCCTAGAATTAAACTGGCCCTGTGGACTGAGTTGTTTTTGAAATACAAAATGTGCTAAAAACTAGAAGGAAGAGTTTGGATGAGCTGTTAGGTTGGATGTGTGCACAACAAACCACAGACCAGACAGCCATTGTATGCAGAAGAAGAGTTTACCTGGTGAGCGACCAGCGGGACCAGCTCACCAAGCCCTGCACTGAGCCTGAAAATTACCTGCTTTGGTACTGAGAACCACTTCCTCCAGCTGGGGAGATCTGAAATGATGCATCTGTAAAAGTAATTGCTCAGTCTGTGTTGTCTCCCAGCTGCTTCTGTCCTCCCAGGCACCAAATCCTTTTTGTCCTATTTTTATTTTATCCTCAGTTGGGGAGTTTGGTAGTTACCCTTTTTTTGAAAGGTGGTGTTCAGCTTGAATGACATTTGTGCCTGAGGAAGTGAACAAAAGTGTGTGGTTTAAATCTGTGTTCTGCAGGGTACCTGGTGTCTTGGGCATCTAGAGTAGAAGCAAACTTTCCGCTAACCTTTTCCATAGATTCTCTTCCTCATCTTCCTTTTCCACAGATACTGAACTGAGGTTTTCCTGTCCCTGCTCGTTCTGTGGTACTTTCTGGCAGCTCTAACAAAGTGCCTGTGACTTTCCCGTCTCTGAAGAGTGGATTTATTTCAGTTCGTTCCACCTGCACAGCTTTTTTACAGCCCAAGCAGTAACTTTATAATTCAGAAAGCCTTCCCTGAAACTGTTCAGAGTCCTTATGTGAGTGTTTTTCCCCTTCATTTTCTGCAAGAGTGGAGTCTGTGACACATAAGAGCAATTAAGTGGATGATAACAACTAAATAGGTAAAAGGTCAGTTGGGTTAGATAATATTTAAGATTACTTCTCTAATGAGATGTTTCATTTCTTTTCTGATGCCTTCCTTTTTTCTCTTGTCATCTGCAAATTCTTCAGGTCACAATCATATTTTCAGAGCCAAATGTTTATTAATATGAACCTATGGCTTAATGCTAATAAGAGACATTGTGTATTCCAATTCTCTGAAATGTGCAATTTTACTGAGTGCTAATTGAGAGGAAAACAGTGTTACACATTCTGAATTGTTCCTTATGCAGAAGCTAGAATTGATTTCACAGTTTGAATCTTTGGGAAAAAAAAAAAAGAATACATTTTTCTCTAGTAAACAATGAAGTTGAATTCTGACATTTTCTACCAAATTCCCTTTTACTAGCATCAGATGTGAGAATGCTCATTTCAAAAAATGGTTTGAAGCCTCTGTAGACAGAAACTGTCAAAAATCACCGGGAAATAATCAGGAAGTAAATTAATGGCAGTTGCCCAAATGTCAACTCCTGTGAACTTCTCAGCCAAAGGTGTAACTGTGTCTCTGGTTTTTTAACTGTATGTATTACTCCAAGTGTCAATTGTCTTCAAAGATGTTTTAGAAACAGGGTTTCAAACCTTTTCCCAGCATACAGTAGCTTGTGGGCAAAATTGAATGATTTATTACAAGCATTTTACCAGAAAACTCATGCTGAGATACTTCTTCAGCAGTGTCTTATGGTTTCCAAGAGCGCTCGCTATCAGGCGAAGTCATTAAAAACCTGACATTACCTTCTGATAAATCCAGTTACAGAAGCAATTTTTTAAAACCAATTTTTCAAAGCATAAATCAAATCTGAGTCAAATACTTAAAGATCAAGGTTTGAATGGAGTTTTATAAATGTCTTCGAAGTGCTAAGAAAATAAAGGAATCGTGTCAAGTATTCTGGCAATGGGTAAGTGCCCATCTGCGTTATCCATGGCCCCAGCTCCCACAACCAAGTGAGAGAAGGCAGCGACACTGCCCCTGGTCCGAAGGAGGAACTACACGTCTTTTCAGAGCTCAGAGAAACTGGCTCGTGGTCTTCTGTTTCAATCCATCTACATGGAAATGTTTACTTAGTCACATCCTGATGTTTGGAAAACAGCGCTTTTAAATATAGGCGGCAGAGAAAACACACCATTCTTTTTTTCAGATTATTTATGTTTGGTGCCCAAATGGCACACGTACAGGTGTGAACGCTCCCGTAGCTGTAGAAGATGTGAACTAGAGCCTGTGCTTTGTTTCCCTGTTTTGGACCTGCGTCACAGAGATCTCATTTCTCATCAGGAGAAGTTTCTTACCAGGGCAGGTAGTTCCAGTTCACATGCTGTATACCAGCAAAACAAAGTTCTGTCATCTGTGTCCCTGCTGAGCATCTTCATCATCACTGCAGATGGAGCTGTGAGCTGATGTTGTCTTCTGTGCATTGCCTTTACTTGGTTGAAAGTTTCAACCAAAAAAATTTTTGTTACGGTGCTTACATGGGATACCGAGAACCAGGACTTCTGTAGGATTTCTTGCTCCATCTGAGACTGTAGAAGGGATCACGTCAAGTAAATCCTACATCTGTAACAGGAAATTCAGTGGTGGGATGATTTAGGACTGTTCTTTGCACACAAACATGTTCTCGTAAGGTAAGTGGGCAAACACGTTCCTGATAAATCTCTCTGAAAGCCCCTAGCAGTTTGGTTAAGAGTAGATTAGAGGAACAAACCCATCTGTTGGTTGGGAAGGGACACTGGAGCCCTCTGTATCAGTGTCTAGGGATGTTGCTCGATCCACTAGCAGAAATTTAGATGCAGTACATTAAATTACAGCCTAGTTGTGGATTTGAGGGTGTCCATGTGATCAAATAGTAACTCAGACCCAGTGAACTTTGAGATCTGAACCCTACACTGAGGAAAAAACAGCTTACAGTTCCCACACTGGTTTGGCCAATTCAGATGAGCTCTGTTATGAACAACCTTTAACCCAGCATTTTCTCAGCAGACCGCTGTGTCTGAGAAGAAAACAACTTCCCTAGCATAAGGCAGTTTGTGTCAAATCTAGTGGATAGCTATTTTGCGTAGAATAAAATGGAAAAAAAAAGTGAATGCGAATGATAAAATTGGCTGTTGCAGGTTGTAAAGCCAGATGGGAATGTAATCCTGTCATCCGTATGATGCAGGGTGAGGACCTTCCCCCAGTGTCCTCTGCCTCCTTCCAGCTGTTTGGTCTCGGGGAGACCCTCGGGCAGAAAGCAGCAGGGCTGAAGGGAGTTCAGTAAATAACTCTGTAAATAAAACTTTGATGACTGGCGTGACATACCACAGATGTACAATCCCCTGGGGCTCATCTCGTTAGACAGTCTCTGGTGATGACTTTTTCTCATCCCCACTGGCGGTGTTCAGAGTACCTGCCGTCTCTCTGATGCTCTCCCATTCTTATACTCCTAAATTTCCCATACAAAAAAAGAAGAGAGTAAAAAAGGGCAGGAAAAAAATGCACTAAATACCCAACTTTCCTGTAAGCCACTTTCAAATGTTTCTCTTCAGTTACCGTCATTTCACTGACAGCCCCATCAGAGTAAGTTTTGGGAAGTGAGTTGGACAGCAATGGTCTGGCGGCTCTTAGACCACCAGCTATTTTAAAACTGTATCTCAATGAAACGTGTTGGCAACTGTGCATACATGACCTCTGGTTTTCCTTCAGCGAAAAAAGCTGGTGGCAGCCTGAACCATTGTTCTTTTTATCTAAAACAAATCTTTCAACTGGCAGCCAAAAATTGCTTTTCGGTAAAGCTTTGAAAAATCATAAAAGAAGTCCAGCAGTTTACAAGAATTTTCCATTGCCCAGCTATTCACAAAGTAGAACAGAAATTTTCTGTATGTCTTGGGTAATTGGTAGCTCCCGAACATTGCACCTTGTCCTGTCAAATGAACTTATGATTACTAATTCATTTTTTTTTCATTTTTATTGGTGCTTTCAGACATTTATAGACTTGGAGCTTTTTGATTATTCCTTTTTTGACAATATACATACATCTCCAATCTCTGATCATAAGGTATATAATTTTTCAGTCTTTATTATTTCTGCTGCCCATCACTCTTTAAAAAGTTTTCCAAATAACTTGAAATGTGGTACATGTTGTACAAATTATTTTTGGCCTGATAACATCAGGGATATGTATTTTCCTTCAGCA